AATTTTCTTTTTTTATTTCTCAATTTTTGCTAGTAATACTATGAATCATCTTGAATTTGATTTTTGTTATTGTTATTAAAAATACTTAATAATTATATAAATGTAGCAATATTGAAATTGTTTCAAAATGGAATAAAATGAAGGAGAAACATTGAAAAAATAGTAAGAATATAATAATATAAAATAAGGAACAAAGATTAAAAAATATAGTTAAAAAGTAATCATGAGGTGTGCAGAAATATATTCAATTATATCTGTTTTCAAAATATTTTATTTAGATAGTGAATAATTTATAATAAACAAAAAAAAAATGAATATAGACATAATGGAAATTTGTCGAAAATATGAATGATTCATTGAATCATACACGATGTATATGGAATAATAATATAATTGTAACAGATAACCTGATAATATTAATGACCCAAATATCACATGATATAAGAGATATCTCGTACAAATTGTAACTTTATTACTAGCAATTAATAAGATATTTATTATGATTAATTTTATCACAAATATACATGATATATGACCTTTATAGTCTGAGGTTATCTAAGGCATGATAATGGTTGAAGGATTCTTAATATAACCTTTTACCATTTTCTTTTCCTCTTTTCTAAAAAATATTCCATATATTCTTTATAGAATATAGATTCTATTTCCTATCCCCATTTCTCAGAATTTTTTTTTCATTTCAAACTTATTCTTTCCCCCGCTTTTCGCGCTGCATTTATCCATGGGAAGGGATAAAAATACATTTCTATATTCCAACAATTGTCATTCGTGGTGGGAATCGGGGAGACAAAAAGGTAAATGTATTTTATTTCCGGCTACCGTTTTAATTTCACCGTGCGAATAACGTTCCAAATGGAATAATAAGAGTTGCGGTTTCCCCTAGACTGAAAGTAGGGACTTTCCCCATTCGCAATCCTGCGTTTCGCGCATGCGCGTGGGTACACACATGTGAGAAGCGCGTGCTCACAATTTGATGATTCTAAATGTTTTAAAAGTAATACGGAAATCAAGTTTTAATTTTTAATCAAAGTGTTTGCACTTTTGGTGCAAATTACATTTCATATTTGTTAATAATCTATCGAAATGCATTTCTTAAAGAAATTGGATTTAAAAATTGGATTTTTCCTTTTTTTTTCTCTTTTTGCTTGAGAAATATTTGTAAATGATTAATGAAAAATACGAAATAGAGCGATTCTACGCAAAATGAAGTTGCATTAAGAAAGAAGAATTATTTTTATTACTTATATCTTTATATTATTATATTATTATATATGTAGATACATATATTTTAATATATTTTAAATTGCATTTTATATTATTATATATTATATTGTCATACATATGTATCCATTTTAATATGTTATTAACATAACTTCGAGCTTTACATATGTATATTTTCTTCGTAAAAATTATCGTAAAATTTTTTTTTCTTTTCGTTGCTCTCAATTTGAATTCCACTAAAATATTAATATAATTATTTAAATATTAAAATATCAAATTCTCAAGATTTTATTATTGTCACGAACATTTTTCGCAAATAGGCACTGCGTTATAATAACTGTCCGAGAGTAATTTTGATTTTCAACTATGTATCCTGAAAAAAGAACAATTGATGAGTATTTTATTCTCAAATATATTTGTATCTCTATATTTGTATATTTCATAAATAATTAATGAATACATTGTATATAGCAATTGAACATTTTATTATGAAGATTATGATATCATTAATTTGTTTTCATAATGATTTTGATAAGAATATTTTGAATATTTACAAAAAAAGGATGTTTACAATTTTTGAGATATAAACATCATTACGTGACGAAGTTAAAAATGTTTTCTTGATTTGTCTATTCTTTTTGTAATTTGCAATTTTATCACTTTATACGTATTATCATTTTATATTTCATTATATCTTTTATTTTTATTGTAAAAGTTTCATCGATATATATTTTTTTTTTAAATCGCTTTAACAAAAATTAATTATTTTTATTTCGTTATTATATTTCCTTTCTTTTCTTTAGGCAAGGATATATTTCTTTTTTCACATTTCCATCATCAATATATTTTTTTACCGTACAGCTCACTCGTAAAATGGTGAATCACTTTCATAGTTACAAAACAAACAATTCTCAATTCTCAATTATATTTATCATCGGAACGAAAAAATACTGAATGTTATAATGGGAAATCAAATATAATGGGATATAAATATAATGGGAAATAAATGGGAATTTAATATGGGAAATTAATATTAAAAAATTCGATATAGGAACAAAACGTTATAAAAGCGAGAATGGCTTTATGACGCATATAATGTCGCATATAATTTTATTAAGATACAAATTTTTAAATCAATATATTACATTTTCTTAATTAGATTCTAATAAATTTCAGTAAATCTACTGGATCCAATAGTTACCTATACATCTCCATAATCGTATATTCTTCAAATTATATAGTTAACATTTTATATAGTTAACACAACACAATAATTATTTAAAGCCTTATTAGCCTGATAATAAATCTTCGATAATTCCAGATACCTAGAGGCCTTACCTCCATTAAGATAACCATTTATCGATGATTTACTCTATTATTTTAGTTTTCAAAGAACTATTTGCATCAAAGCATTCGTAGCAGGCCTATCCTTTCTTTCAACAATTTTAATATAAATTCCAGTCAAAGATATAATAATATTAACGATATATAAGTCTAAAGTCACTTAGAATTAAAAATTAGAATTTTGAAGTCGAATTTATCGCATTATAGCATTTTCAATTTGAATTAAACCTGACTGTTGAAAAATATATACTTTCTGCATCGATAGTGGATTATTCCGGATTATTTTTGATTTGGTTTGTGCGTTAGACTTGTGTTGTCCTCTTTCTCTCATTCCTATATTTGTAAACTATATAATATATGATTTTATCTATTTTTGTTTACGTTAATTAGGACGATAAGTGGAAAGATTTAGAGGTAGATATGCCGATATATAATAAGAGGAGATCGATTCGTCAATAATAATATATCTAGTCGAACTATAACTGTTGCGCTGTTTTTCTTGACCATGTTTAATCTTGACCATGGAGTGTTCCTTCGAAGCACGGGTTGTGTTATTCGCGAAATTTTCCAGACGATCTTGTAGATATTTTAACAAATTTTAGACTTCGATAAACCTTTTTTATTTATTTATTTATTCTATCATTTATTCAATTTCGTCAACTGCTTACTCGTATATCATTGATATTGATCGAGATTAATCGCTTGAACAAAGAGAATAACCAACAAGGATTTCGTACGATTTCGAAAAGGTAATTGATAATTGAACGAGACATTTATTTACAGTTCAAATTTGTGTTGGGACTATAAAGTTTTACCGTACGAATAATCCCATGACAAAGATTTCTATAAAGGGACCGTTATGGTTATAAAATTGAACTATTATGGTCATAATACAAAAAGTGGTAATGCGTAGTTCGACAGGTCATAAACGGTTGGTTATAATTCTTTCTTTGAAAATGATTTTTCGGATTTTTCCACCCTCATTTCCCTACTCTTTCACCATCACTATAAGTGGTAGGGATGAAAGGCGCTATTTAAGGGAAAAAAACTTGAAAGGTAAGTTAGTTAAAGTCAAAAACAGGTGATAGCATTTTCTAACATCTATTGTACAAGTGAATATTATACAAAAGGTAGTTTTTTCAAGTGAAAGAATATATAATACAATTTTCTTTTATACAAGTAACAAGTATATAAATAATTCGAGTTAAATTTGAATCAATTCCGTATAAAAAAATATTTATACTCCAAATGCTTATTAATTAAAAGATTTTTATCTATGATTCGTTATCAGTTCGTTATCAGTAAATTGATTTTTCTTTGTATTTTACTTTTGATTCGAAGGGATATTTGTTTTTAACATTGTTCGATTATTTTTCGTTTATTTTTAAAAATGTTTTTAAAATCTTCCATCACATCGACATTCATCCACTGTAATATTGGGTTGCTTTTTTTTGTTTTTTTTTTTTTTTTTTTTTTTTTTTTTTTTTACGTTTTCTTTGTGCTTTCTAACCACAATTATCCAACAATTTTTTTTAACATCTGCCCAAATACTTTTACACGATATAATGTATCCTTTATATTCGATTTTTAAATCTTTTAAAATTCGTGTTTCAAATTGTTCGTACATCAAATCAAATTTTCGAACACGAATTGTACTCTTTTTGTTTTCCTTAAAGTTGAATAAAATTAAAATTTAAAATTTTATTATCTATTTTCTAAAATTTTTTAAAATTCAAATATGATATTGTTAAATGTTTATATGCATTATTTAAAAATATTATCATATCTATTCATAATAATTTCATACGAATATTCAATTTTTTATAGGAATCAAATTTCGAACGAAATTATTTTATTTTATATTTTCTTTTTGAAGAAATATTTTTCCCACAAAGCAGTCACGTCATGTTTATATTCATGTTTATTTATAACGTGTTATGACATTATTCATAAAAATTTACTTTGCAGATTAATGGCAATTACTTCCTAGTAAAATGATGTTTAATTATTTTATCTTTCGAATTCGAAATGAATAACGCCGAGATTAAAAATCGTCGCCGATTATACGGATTAATAATATTAATTGAATAATCAAATCTATTTCGAATTTGTATCGAATAAATTTTCAATTAATATCAAATTACATTGTATCCTATTTCCTTGTGAATTAAAGAAATAAATAGAAATAAATTTGCATTTCGAGATAAGCATTTCTCTTAAGAAATATATACAAGTTCCAAAACTTATAAATATTTAGAATAAAAATTTTTTTGGAAAGATTTTTAGGAAAAAAATTAAAGCTGCGCGTCACACACATTATTTTTATCTCTATCTCGTTTCATAATACTTATATTACTTGTAAATAGATTAAGATGTTTATGTTTATTCATGCAAAATTTAAATGTACATAAATTTACAGAATATACATGGAATGCAAAAAAGGATAAAAGTGGAAGAAAAAATATAGACAATCTCAGTGCCAATCTAACTAACCAGCTTGAAAATGAGTACACCAATAGTAACCGTGAAACAGGGCAAATTAAAGGGGGCGATCATAGAGAACATCCTAGGATCATCGCCGTACTACGCTTTCAGAGGGATACCGTTCGCTGCACCTCCTGTTGGAGAACTCAGATTTAAGGTAAGCACGTAATGATATACACTTCCACCGTTTAATTTATTTATTTTTAAATTCTCTCTCGTATTCTCGTATTTCGAGCTTCTTCTTTTTTCTTTCTTCTTTAAATATCAACAAGCGAGCTCGTTCCTTTTTCTTTTTTAACAAATACAGTTTATCAATACGAAAGAAATTTCAACTCGAATATCGATCTGATTTTTTTTTTCTTTTCTCCAAAATAATAGTAATTGAAATAATCATGACGTGTGCAAAGGGATGAAAATTCGAATTATCGACGATCTATAAATGATAAATACGATGCTCTTATTTTCCATCGCTTCTAATCCTTTTTAAATTAAATTTAGGATCCGCAACCAGCCGCATCGTGGACCGATATCAAAGATGTTTCCAAAAACGTTGAATATTACTGCGCGCAACGCCAACCATTTACACCGTATAAAATCATTGGCGACGAGGATTGCCTTTACCTGAATGTCTACACCAATTCTCTCGACCAGTCGAAACCAGTTATGTTCTATATTCACGAGGGTGCGTTTATATGCGGCAGTTCGAGTTTCCAGGAGATGAGGCCCGATTACTTGCTCCCCAAAGACGTGGTGGTCGTCTCGAGTAACTACAGAGTCGGTGCATTCGGTTAGTTTCGATTCGACTTTTAAAAATTCGAACGGAACGAGAAACGGCGGGAAGAGATATTTTAACGCGTGAATTTTTTTTCTTTTTCTTTTAAATTGGGGGGGGGGAAAAAAAGGATTTCTGAATCTGGGCCATCGAGTCGCGGCCGGGAATTACGGCCTCAAGGATCTGATCTTGGCTCTGGAATGGGTGAAGGAGAATATCTCCAACTTTGGAGGGGATCCCAACAACGTGACGATTTTCGGCGTGAGCGCGGGATCGGTTTTGGTTCACGCGTTGGTTTTGTCGCCAAAAGCGAAAGGTAACGCGCGATTTTTTGTCTAAAGAAAAATTATTCGCACGTCGAATAATTGATTAATAAAAATTCGCCTCTTTCAGGATTGTTCCACAAAGCGATCATGCAGAGCGGTGTGCTTTGGAGTTCTTGGTGCAAGAGTCAGAATTATGCCATTCGTGGATTCAGATTAGCCGCCCTCCTCGGTCAAAAATCCGACGATCCCGAGGAGGTGATCGAATTTCTGCGAAAAGTGCCGGCCGAGGATATCGTGAAAGTTCAACCTAATATCCTCACTTTGGAGGTAAGCAGACGGTTTTTTCTCTATCCATCGACACGATTACGACACGAATAATCAATTCGAAATACGGATGGAATATCCTTATATTATTATAGGAAAAATTCGCCTACGCGATTCCATTCGGGGTCAGTTACGACGAAATAGCGGACGATCCTGTTATGCCAGAACCTGTCGATCAATTACTGAGGACAAAAGGTGGCGACATCCCCATAATGATCTCTTACACGGCGGACGAATGCATAGCGTACGTAAAAGGTGAAAATTTCGTTCGAATATGATTTTACACCTGATAACGTTCCTCACGAGTCGATCTGTTTTATTTAATCTCGTTTTCGTTTTTTCTTTCGTTTCCAGATAGGTCGAACGAGACGATCGAAACGTTGAACGAATACATGCCCACGTACGTGAGAAGTTTGGAATCGTTGAAGAAATTAAACGAGGACGATTTTGAACGATTGTATGATACGATAAGAAATCGATTTTTCGATGGGAAACCGATTAACGCGAAAAAAATCCGCAAAGCTATCGAGGCACTGACTTATATATATTTCGAACTTCCTATTATAGTGATGATAGAAGATCTGGTGAAAAGGAGTACGGTCTCCAATTACGTTTGTAGATTCTCGTTCGTTGGAAACGAGGAATCGATTTTTGATCTCATACAAAAACGTCACGTTTCTGGTAAGAATATTATTGATATTCGTTAATTTATTCTTAGAGTAAATAGTTTAATGTATGCACACAATGTACGAGATTGTCGAGCCTAGAAAGAAGTCTATCGATAAGGCTTAATTTACGGTTACGTAAGATTTTTGATCTTTCAAACAATTTCGAGAAAAATTTTCGTTTCGATCTTGTTAACGAATTATTGGTGAAAAATATTGACCAATAATCACAGAACACGTACATTTATCGCGTGAGAACCGATCGGTAGTGTTGGGTACGAGTCGCTGACGAGTCACTGGATTTGAACAAACAAAACAATCAGTGTATCTTTTCTTCTTCTTCTTCTTCTTCTAACTATTTTTATTTTTATTTTTGTTATCCTCTCTAGGATCGTTACTCAAATGTATTGTATAAATGTACATTAACACTTGTTAATGCATATTCGTTCACATTTATACATCATTTTTTTACGATATATTATTCACATTTCAGGAGCAGCTCACACGGATGACGCGCCATATTTGATATATTCACCGAAATATAAAATTTATGACCCTAAGCCACCAGTAGTAGGTACAAAAGACAGAGTAATATTGGAACGAATGACTAGAATGTGGACTAATTTCGCAAAAACAGGGTAAATTTTATAATTTTTTTTCCATGTAATAAATATATAAACATGAAATATTATTTTTACTATGTTACATCATTACCAATCTAGGAATCCTACTTCGATTAAAGATGAATTTGTTAACATTGATTGGAAACCCGCAACATTGGATTATCTCTGTTTTTTGGATATTGGTAAAGAATTGAAGATGCATCCCATTTTACCACACATTTTATCCTCTTCATAAGTTTTACTTTGTAAATTGCACAAAATAAATGAATAAAATTGAACGTCAAATATATTAATATGATAATAATGTTTGTCAAATTTTTATTTTCCTTTCCTTATCCGTGCCATATTTATATACAGAATATTAGTAAATTAGTCAATTTTTTTTTTTTTTTGATTGTAAATGTCACGTTATAGAATGGAATTATAGAATATTTTAACGCAAGCAAAGAGTCGAAAATAAATTCTGGAAAAATGTAACTTACGAATAAAGAATTTTTACGAAAAAGTTTTCTCGAATCATTCAATCGATTTCGAAGCAAAACTTTTTCACTTTTAAAAGCAGAGTTTTCAAATATGTCCCATTCAAATTCGAATCTGCTTTATCGCCTCTTCTTCTCAAACTACTTACTTAAAAGGTTCAAATATAAGTTACAACGTTCAAATCCAACTTGTCACGTACTCGATCCCATCACTAATTTTATCAAATTTTAATAATAGCAGCCTCAATCTTTCGTTCTTCTATTCTTTTCATGGATCTTGACTGTATTCTAACATTTAAAAATAATCTGATTTGATTTCATTCTCGTAAAAAAGCATTGTCACGACACCGACTTTCAAAAAAGAATGAATGCCTGCTATCGTTTCATTGAGCGCGAGTTAATTTGGTAAAACACTTTTAATCGTGAAAATGTTGCCCAACGGATTTTTTTTCAATACAAAAAAAAAAAAAAAAAAAAAGAACAACAACAACAATAA